CGGTCAGGCGCGGGTGGCATAAAGTGAATGATACACCGTCGCAGTGGACGGTCCATCGGCATACTGCATACTCCGACGGTCCGAGCCGCGAGAGGAGGGCACTCGGGACGCTCCACGAGCCGTGCGGCGGCGTGCTCCTCCGCCACGCGCAGCGCGTCGTCGCTCGAGCCCCCCCCCCCCCCCCAGATCGCTCCTGCTGGCGTCATTGGTTGTTGATTGCTTCGAAGCGTGTTCTACTACACCACATGAGCTTGCCTGCGGCGAGGGCGGTCGAGTGCACGGAGCTAAGTGCCTCGCCGTCCTCGCAGGAGTCGCTTAGGCGGCTCCCGTAGTGTGCCTGTGTTAGTGCCAGTGCGCGCCAGTGTACCTGTGTTAGTGCCAGTGCGCGCCAGTCCCGTGCCCAGTGTCGTGCGAGGGAGTTTTGTTGTAAAATTTTACTACACCACTAGCGGCCAGCAGGTGGACGAGCGCTCGCTGCGGATCAAAAGATTAGGGATTTGTTCGCAATGTCGTGCACGGGTATGACGGCGGCCGCATCGCGTGCGGCACGCTCGGGAGCTGCGACCCCTGCGGGCCGCCTCCACCGCCGGCAAACGTGTGCAAGCCGTGGTGCAAGAACAACCCGAAAGCACTGCGCCAAAACCCAGCTTTGCGGCGGCTGCTACTTTTGCTACCACTAGTTGCCTCTGCTCTCGCCATACGGGGTGTGGAGGGTGAGTTGACCAGAGGTTGTGCGCTGGGCCCTCCTGCTCGGCTCCAGCGAGTAGACAAGTGTTGTCATCAACAGAGTAGATGGACCTGACCTCGGGGCCGATGTGACCAAGCGCTGGTAGCGTGGTTTTACCTCACACCCATGGTCTCACAGTGTGCCGGCAGTCGCCGAGCAGTGTCGCTCACACAAGCCGCAGCACAAGTGACTGAGGGCCAGTGAGGGCGAGCCCATCGCTGTCACAGCTGTGGCAGCCGCACAGTAGGCTGTGCCAACTGTGCAGAGCGTGTGAGCAGCAGAGGAGCTGCTCTCCAGGCTTCAGGCGCAAAGAGCTGCATGCCACCGAAGGCGCTGTCGAGGTTCGCCGAGCGTGGCGCAGGTTGGAGGACACCGTCACCGACGAGCGCGTTGGAGTATTCACTCCGGACAAAGACCGCTGCCACCGCCAGGCTCCCCTGGCGTTGAGCGACTGGGCGTGCCGTGAGGGCTAGGGCGGGCCAGTACCGGGTGCTCCAGCTCGGTGCTGTTCACAGCCTGGGTGGGGCCAGTCTCTCCGCGCGACGGTGGAAGAGTGATTGGCGGGCGCGGGCTCGGCTGCGTCGGCGGGGGATGCTGCGGCGGGTTCGGGGAAGGGGTGATGCTCATCCCCTCCATCCTTCCCTCGTTCTCTCCCATCCTCTAGTACTCCCATCCACCCGAGGAAATTGTCAGCCACCTGTTTCGGAGACACCTGCATCTGCTCTGTGGAGGCCGGAGTTAGAGTGGGCCCTCTTTCCATGTCCCAACCCCACTCCCTCCGGGAGCATTTCCCCTCCTCTCCCCCCGGCCAATTGCGATCTGCTACCGCCAGATATCCCAAGTCTGGGTGGTCCACGTTCCGGTTAAACTCGATGAAACGGCGGACGATTCAATCAAAGAGGATCCCAAAGAGGCCTTTCCGATCCCGTCCTTTTCGCCGATTCCTTCCAACAGCGCGCTCGTGTATGGCCAGGACAACGTAGAGCCGATGCTGGCGCCCGAAACCGAGCTGAACCTCATCTTTGACTGTTTGGTTCCATCGTCGTCGCCCGCCAGCAGCGCCTCGCCATCTCCGCCCGCCTGGCAGTCGTGCCCCACTGTCGCGATGCAGCCTGGCTGCTTCGCGGCGGATCCCCCCAAATGCACGAACCCGCCTGCGAGCCTGATTGGCAACAAGCGCTGCATTTGGACGGCGGAGGAGGATGCGTTCATTGACCGCGCCGTGCGCTTTCGCGGCCTGCGTTGGAAGGCGATCGCCGAGATGCTTCCTGGCCGCTCCGAGACTGGGTGCCGCAAGCGATGGATGAGATGTCAGCAGCGCAGGCTCGCAGCGAGAGGCATCAAGGTGAGCCGCATGTCGGATGTTGTGGCGAACGTACACAACGTTGGCGCCATGAGGACGCGGAAGCCACCGTCCTCGCAGCCACCACCAGAGGTGGAGCTGTGGAGCGGCTCTGGCCGGGAGCAGAGCGGGCTAGAGCTGGCCTGGGCGCATGCCCCTTCTGCGTGTGCGCGGCCCCGGCCCCTGGCTCCTGTGCCCAACGCACTGCCTGTGGCACACTAAGCGAGCCAGTGCCGCAGCGACGCAAGCTTCGGTCTGTTCTTTCGCGGCCCTGATAGGCCGACTGCGGCCTCGACTCGGCCCACGATGCGGGCCCGTGGTGGCTGGCCCCTCCGACCCCGCGTCGGCCCTAGGCAGCAGGGAGGGCCTCTCTTCGCCTCTAGTCTCGAGCCTTGCGCTTTACTTACTACCTCCGGGTGGGGTGGCCTCTTGCTTGGCCATTGTGTCATTTGCTGCCCCGCGTGCGCCCCGGCGTGGAGTGTGCCAGTCTGTCCCGCCCGATGTGCTGCGCGTGCTCCCGCCCGATGTGTATCGCAATGTATATTTCACAACCAGCGAGGCGGGTGGCGGGGTGGCACGTTCTGCAACTGCATGCCCTGCGGCCTGTGGGGAACTGGTGGGTGGTGGGTGTCTGGTGTGCGTGCGGGGAAGAGGGAGGGGCTCTAGAGAGAGCAAAATGGTTCGCGTCCCCTTGGCTTGCCCTAAGCTCGTGTCGCGCTGAGCGGCGGCCAGCGGCGACTGCTCTGGCCCGAGCGAGAATATCGTCGCCCGGCTTTGAAACCCGTGTGTAACAGTCGTGGAAGGGGGGCGGGTGGGTGCCCACCCCGGTCGTCCATTCGGGGCGCGTTGCAACGCTCACACGCAAACACCCCTCACCAAGACGCCAACCCTCCACCGGGGCAACAATGCTCGACCTCCAGCACAGAATCGCGCTCCAAAACTCGCACAAGCAGGCCGAGGCGGTCGGCGGCGCCGACGTGCTGCAACTGCCCTCTCCGACCGACACCGCTGCAGAGGAATGGGCTTCGCAGAGCAGGCGGGTGCAGCGGGTGCGGCCGCCATCGCCGGGCGACCGTCGGGAGCTGGAGGCGGCGATGGCGGCGGAGGAGGCAGAGCTCGACCGCCAGCTCGAGCTCGAGCGCCGCCTCGCCGCCGCCAACAACACCCAGCCACAGGCGCGACCGCGTCCGGCGGCGAGCTCTCCCACCAGAAGCGTCGCTCTCCCCTCCCCGCAGAGCAGCGGAGGCCGCGCTTCCGGTAGGGCAGCGGGAGACACGGCTGGCGGCTCCCCCGCAGCGCGGCGCGCCCCTTCCACCGCGGCCTCCTCAGCCCGCGGCGGCGGCGGCAGCGGCCGCTCTTGTGCAGGCGGCAGGGGCTACTTGCCATCGCGCGGGCATCCGTCTGAGGCGGCGAGTGGGGAGAGGCGGTCGGGCGCGGAGCCGCGTAACTACGCGCGCGAGGAGCGGGAACGGCTCCGTAGCATGCGCGCCGCGAGGGCCGAGGCGGAGGTTCCCACCCTAGATGCTCGGGCCCGCCAAAACATACTCACACCCAGCGCCTGCAGGCTAGACACCCCGTTGCCAGCCTAGGCGGCGGCCGCCGAGGACGAGGCGCGCCGCCGAAGCAGCGCCGAGGGCTTGCGGCGCCGCTCCGTCTCCGAGGCGCGAGACATGCCGAGTCGCGGCGATGATCGGCCGCACTTCCTACAGCGAGCTACTCGTAAACGCAGGCGCGAGTGAAGCTCGCCGACCTCGGCATCGACGAGGAGCAGAGCTGCGGCTCACCGCACCGGCGCACAGTCCGCAGGCCCGCGGCACTCATGGCGCAGGAGACGGCCGAGGCGCGGGCAGCAGCCGCCGTGCCCGCCGCGCACAAGCAGGGCGCCGCCGTGCCCTAGATGCTTTCCCTGTGAAACCGCCGCCCCAACTCTCTGCATGGCCGTGTCGAGAGCGGGTAATACGCAGCGCATTCACTCCCTCCCCGTCTATCAAAGGCGCCGTACCTGCTTACCTTCGTCGGCGTCAGCAAGAGTGGGCCGAGGACGCAGCGGCGACGGCGGAGCGAGAGGCGAGAGCGGCCGAGTGCCCTGAAGGGCTTCGCATTGTCGGCGAGGAGGAGAAGGCGTCGATCTTGCGCACGCTGGCACAAGAGCGGGGCAAGGCCGACGAGGAGTTGCGCAGTCTGCCGTTTGTCGTCAAGACACAGCGAACACAGCAGGCAAGAGTTTTGGACAACCGGAGAGACACTTTCAGATATCACCTGACATCTCGGTCTCGACGTCGGAACCTTGCCATGCGCCTTTGCAGGCGAAGGACCGGCTCGAGGCGCGCATCACCGAGATCGACGGCGCAATCGAGGCGTACTCCAAGCCCAAGGTGCTCGTCGCGGCAGATGCATGAGGGTGAAAAACCGAGCTGCACCATCCGGAGACAGGATCAGGAATGATGAAATTGAAAACGGGCCTTTCACCAACAAATGGGCAGCAAAAAAATGGGCTTTTCACGCGAGTTTGTTTTCTTGATTGTGTTCACGATATTCTATTATATGTTTGTTTTCGTCATCGTTGGACGTTGCCGCGGCGGCGGCCGGAACAATTCTGCGGCGGCGGACCCACAGTCGGGCCCGCAGTCGCAGCCACCCCACTCGAAGCCGCAGCGTCCGAAGAGGAGCTGCCACGAGCGCTCAAACGAGCAGCACCACAGCTTCTCGAGCGGCGGCTGCGTGACCAGCGCGAGCAAGTCCGGGAGCGCCGAGTGGTTTACCTTACAGAGCCATAGAGCCGCACGTGTGAGAGAGATGACTTATCGATTCGTGATCATGCACTCGCTAATTAGGGGCAACGGCCTATTGGAGAGGCGTACCGACTCGCGGATCCGCCTCGATGACACGACAAACATGCCGCTGGTCCAAAAGGGCACGGCGCGCGGCATGGTCGATGACTGCCACCGGTTGAGCCACACGTCTTTCTGGGTGAGCAGCCCATAGTCTCGTCGACCTAGCGCGGCGAGAGCCGCTCGCTGGTGGCGGATCTTCTCGGCAGAGCCGCCCACGCAGCTCGAGCCCACAGCCGCTCCCCCACCAAACGCTCCGAGCGGCATGTACTCTGGAGGTCGGCCCGCCTTCGCCTTGGCAATCCTGGCGATGCTGTCGCCGAGGCCTGGCCGATGCTGGTGGTCCTGCACAAAAAAGGTGAGGCGGTGCAGCGCGCGCCAGAAGAGCAGAATGTGCGTCAGGTAGACCTCGCACTCATAGCGCACGTGGCCACGCGGCATTCCCGTCTCGATCAGAATCCAATGCGGATGCCTCGGCACACCCTCGAAGCTCTCGGCATACACGATGACGCGCAGGCCCTTGTCAGCAAGCTCTCGCAGCCAACGCAACTTATTCGAAGGCGCTTCTGCCCTTTTCCGCATGCGAGCGGCCGTTGAGGCTGTGCGGTAGTTCATCGCAACCACCACCACTGACTCCGATGGACGAGCTGGTGTGTCCGACGGCCATTCGCGCACGCAGGCGACGCCCAGAGACGCATTTGTCACGGCGAGAGGGCAACGCTCCAGTGGCAGCATGCGAATAGCAGCGGTGCTTCTCTCGAGGTGGATATTCTTTGGGACCGCGTTGGGTAGCGCTCTCCAACCTCGACGAGCCGATGACCCTCGTGGCCTCGGCCTCGGGTGTGTGTAGGATTCCTACCGCCCCACCGGTAAGGTGTTTGGTCGGGGCCCGGATTTCTTAATACTGTCCAGCGTCCACCCATACCGCGTTGGTGTCCAGTCCGAGCCTGGCTGTTCTTCACCTTTCTACCTACCTACCTACTCTTAATGTTCGACAAGACCGGGATCGCTCTACCGGCAAACCTCTCGCTGACATGCGCGCCCCGTCGAGCTGACGGCGGGCGCGCTGAGGTCGCACGCCAAGCCCAGTTATATGCCAATGCGCAATGGCATGCGATCAAGAATCGGCTCACGCGCCTCTACTCGCATACGCTCACCCATAGAATTGTCACCGCCAGTGAGTGCGAGATAGGGCTAGCGGCTGGCGGCTAGCCCCTGAGGAGAGTGACCAGAGACACCTCACATGACCCCACACACGGTCTAGTCCGGCCTCGCGGTCGGCGGAGATTGCTAGAGGACGAGCAAGCCTGCTCTAGCCTCACGCGTTCTCCCCTGTCGTCTGTTGTGTTGTTGTGCCCTTGTTTGTTCTCTTGGCACCTTGGAGTGGGGGGGGCGACAGGGAGGATGTGGCCCTGAGTTATGTGTACGCCGACTCAGGGTGTGTGGCAGCCAGCTGGCTGTGTGTCTTGTGAGCTTGTTTGTGTCTGTGTGTCGTTCGTGCGTGTCGTCATCATCTGTCCCGCGTCCACCCATACCGCGTTGGTGTCCAGTCCGAGCCCGACTGTTGTTCGTGGACGCGAGCAAGAGCAGTACCGCGCTTGGCTGGGCGGGCGAGGTCAGCCTGCTCTTGCTCTTCCCCGGCGTCCGGCACGGGACGTACCAGCCCCCGGTAGTCCCAATGCCTAGCCTGGCGGGCGTCATCTGCCGGTGACGGCGCCATCTCTTGTAGCAGCTAGTGGATCCGCAGCACTGCGAGACCCACCGGCTTCTCCTAGATCTGATGAAAGATCTCCAGAGCCCTCCCGTAGAGTCCTAGAGCCTCCCGTAGACCGCCAGAGTAGAGCGTGTGGCTCGTTGGACGCTCCACGCCTCTTGAGTGTGTCTTTTCATGTCCTCTTGCATACCATGCAACACGTCTGACCGCGGGCCGGCAGCCTGAGACGCGCGCCCCGTCGCTCTCCGCTCTCCTTCTCCACCCCACCCCCGTTGCCGTTCCGCCTTCGCTCCAGAGCTGAAGGGGCGGCGCGCACCGGCCACCGCTTACACCGCATGCGCACACATACAGTACACCATCCCATCCCCGAGAGCGCCGTTTATGACACTCATCTCTCGTGAATCCCCCACGTGTGCGGGCGCTGGAGCAAGCAGAGCCAGAGGGCAGAAGGCCTCACCGCACCATGTTCATGAGGTCGGTGATGGAGGGGATCCGTCCGAAGGATGAGTTCCGGACACGCGGAGAAGGGTCCGAGATGGATGCGTGCGGCGCGTCGGGGGACGTGCGCGTGTCGGGGAAGGGCGGGATCTTGCAGGCCACTGCGCCCTCCACGTCGAACTGCTCAAACGCCTCCCGCGGCCAGTGCGCGTCGAGCAGCTCCTTGCCGGCGATCGTGGCGATGAGCAGCGCACCGCCGGACATGGTGAAGGCGGAAAGCGGCTCGCCGACGCCGGCGACCATCCAGAGCGGGCCGAGCGGCACCTCGAGCAGCAGCGCGATGGCGACCTCTGTCGGCGGGACGCGGCCGGAGACGAGGGCGATGGCGATGTGCATTGCGGAGATGCCAAAGGCGTTGAGGGCGGAGAGGGCGACGAAGGTGCCGCTCGGAGGGACCAGGCCTCGGGCTCCCTCGGTCGCGAGCTTCGCCGCCCCGAGCACGAGCAGGGCGAGGTAGGCGCCGAGGGCGGGGATGGCGGGGCCGCATGCGCGCGGGTGCGAGTGGGCGAGGCGGCGGGTCGCGACGATGTAGCCGGCCATGAACTGCCCCGTGCTGATCGGCACAAGCAGCGGCCACTGCTCCAGCCATCCCACCGCACCGGCGGCGCCGTTGGCGTCGCCGCCACCGCCGCCCGCACCAGCCATGCCCACGCCGGCCGCCGCCTTCTCCCGCCGCGCCGCCGCGAGCCGCGCGTCGAGGGCCTCATACGCGTCGCGCTCCGCTGCGTCGACCCCCAGCGCCGCGGGCGCAAAGGCAATCACCACCGACGTGAGGGCCAAGGCGAGGGCGCCGAGCGTTCGGCCGCTGACGGGCTCGTCAAACAGGAGCGCGCCCAAGAGTGCCGCCCAGAGCGGTGCTAGGCTTGTCAGGATCAGGGCCTGCGCCGGGTCACACACCATCAGCGAGGCGCCGAACGTGACGGTCGCCAGCGCCTGCAGAGCGCCGGCCGCCAGCACCTGCACGGGCGGCGCGGCGGCGAGGCCAGCGAACAGCTTCGCAAACCCGCCGCGGAGCGAGGCGGCGACCGGAGTGAGCATCACGCAGACGAAGACGGTGCGCCAGAGGAGGATCGTCAGCATGTCGTCCGCCTCCTCGCGCTGGAGCCGCAGGAGCAAAGCATCGGGCGTGACGCAGGTCACGCCCGCGTACAATATCAGGCGCGGCAACGCTCTTGGCAGCACTCGCGCCCTCACCCCGAGGTCCTCGACCTGGACCTTAACCGCCTCCGCGTCCGGTGAGTGGCAGCAGCCGAGAGCGCGGGTTTGCATCGGGGTCTCCTCCAGCATTGCCCACGCACACTCACGAGCACTGACCTGACGAGCACAGACGAGCACAGAAGACGAGCACAGGACCCACGCCACAGCTGCCGTGCATGCACGCCGTCGTGGGACAGGCTGCCCCGAGGACAAATCCTGTCACGTCAGGTGGCGTTTATTTTTGCTTCGGCGGGTATGCCGGGGTAGGTAGGGTCTGGGCCCTCCCGTCGGGGTTTTCCCTCTCTCACGCCGGAATTTTCACAGCAGAAAAGAATTTTCCGCGCAAATCACGATGTCAACCCTCCCCAAGTCGTTGATCTGGTGCTTGTAGGCTTGAGAGTGGCCTGCCATGTCACAGGAAGGACTGTGGTTGCAGGATAGTACCACCAGCCATCACTTTAGTTGGTATAGTACCCCACCTTCACCGAGCGAGTGATTTCTTTTTTAGTTTCCCATAAGTAAGGTAGGTAGGTAGGTAGGGGCACCGCAGGGGCCGGTCAGGTTTTTCCAGAATTTCAGCATGATACCCGCCCAAGCAAAAATAAACGCCACCTGGTCACGTTCCGATAACGATTGGGGTGGCAGTGGGGGCCCCAACTCGTGGTAGGCCACTAGTTTATCGTAGGGTACTCACGGATACCTCTCCTCACACATCGCATGCGGTCTTCACTCAGCCTCCGCTGCTGTGAACACCAAACTTGCACTGTTTTTTGTCAGCTGGTGGACGCTAGACTGTTGACAGATGATGACGACACGCACGAGCGACACACAGACACAAACAGGCTCACAAGACACACAGCCAGCTGGCTGCACCACACCCTGAGTTGGCGTACACATAACTCAAGGCCACATCCCCTAAAACATCCTCCCTGTCGCCCCCCCCAGCACTCCACGGTGCCACAAGAGAACAAACAAGGGCACATCAAACAACAGACGGCAGGAACCCTCCCTCCCTCAAAGAGAGGGGGGGGGGGGGGGGTGTTTTGATGCCGCACTCCCCAAGGCGCAACGCGCAAGTCGGGGGCGATCTTCTCTCTCGAGGTCTCGGAAAGTTGGTCCGCCTGGCCCCACCAAATGATCTTCTCTCTCTCTCTCAACATACTCGCGGCCGCAGCGATTCGGGGCGAGATGTTGTTCGGGCTGCTCGCGGGGCACGCCTCCGGCTCGGACGTCACCCAACTCGCCGACATTGGCCATACCGACAGCGCATCCGGCACTCTCATCGACGCGGATTCCGCCCTCTCCGCCCTCGCCACCACCGTCCTCGAGAAGAGCCAGAGCGGGAGAGTGCATGACGAGTTTAAGGCCGTCCTCTCCAAGATCTTGCCGGAGTTCGACTCTTGCTTCTTCGACTTCGACACCGGCCTCAACGACCATTTGCCGATGCCGCTCGTGCAGGGCTCGCTGGAGCGCCAGACTGACGAGGTGCAAGCTTGTCGGTCGCAGACGAACGCGGCGGAGGGCAGCATCGCATCGGCGCATGACTTCGGCGCCGTCTCCTTGCTCGTCGTCTGCGGCGCCATCTGCTTCCTTTTGCACGCGCACGCGTGCTTGGGAGCAGTTTCTGAGGGTATGCACACACGCAGCCGCCGCCGGCTCTGCTTTCTCCTGCTTCTCTCTCGGATCCAGGCCGTCGCGTCCGTGTCAGCCTTCGACTGCACGAACCACCCGAACCCGATGCAAATCGTCAAGAAAACCGGCGACTATTCGCTCATTGAGCTGGACATCTCGACTGGTGTGTACTCGGATGTCCACACTGTCCAACTCGACACCGCCGTGGACGCGGGTGGTGCGAATCCAAGCTTCGCAAACGCCTTCTTCATCAACCCGATCGACGACATCGCGTACGGCAAGTTCACTGATGGCAATAATCAGGACTTCTTCTGCCGCTTCGCAGCCAACCAGATCGCCGAGCCTATGGAGTGCCTCTGCGCCCTGTCGATCGTGGGGAAGGGGGGCACTAGAAGCGGCGGGGAGCTCAACTCGGCGACGATCGTCAACGACATCTACTACGTGGGGATGGGCACGAAGAACCTGCGGACGATCCCGAGCGTGAGTACCTGCTTCACGGACACCAGCTGCTTCGCGCCGGGCGCGCCGTCCCCTTTCACTCAGTGCCCGGGCGCTTGGATCTTCGGAAACCGGGACGACGGCTTCGGTGGAGCCACCACCTTGGCACTCGAGACCATCAATTTTGACGTCGGCGCACTCAACCTGAACATCGCCTCGCTCACCGCCCAGTTTGGCTGGAACGAGCTGGACTACTCCACCAACTCGCGCTACTTGACGAACAACGTGTACACGTACGACTCGGTCACGGACAGCGTCTCCACCTTTCGGCCGTGCTGCGACAACGGCAACAACTACCTTGACATCAACCCGTACACTTTTGGGGGCACGACGTATCTGATCGGCCTGTCCACCGAGGATGGCAATGCCCTCATCGTCAAGCTCAGCCCGTCGGGCACCTCGGTCGACGGCTACGCGTACGCGCGCTCCCGCTTCGAGTGGTTCGGCGCCAGCTACAAGGCCACCGCCGGCAACGACAACTCACGGGGCTTCAAGGGCTTCGGTGCGGCGTTTCAGTACGGCGACGACATGTACTACGCCGCCAACGGCGGGACTGGCGTCTTCAAGATGAACCGGCCCGTGCTGGAGGAGATGCTTGTCGCATGTGACTTCACGGCTGGTGGTCGCCAGTGCGGCATCACCGACGGGGACATGCTCAAGCTCCAGCGCGTCGCCGCCTCCGCTGGCACCGGCAACAACGACGGGCTGAACTGCGTGAATGTGGTGGACCCATTCCCGGATCTCCCGCCTGCTCCACCGTCGACACCGCCCCCCTCCGCCCCGCCTGCGCCGCCGCCGTCCGCGTCGCCGTCGCCGCCGCCGCCCACGCCGCCGCCTCCCTCCGCCTCGCCGACGCCGCCCCCCCTCGGTGCGACCAACCCCCTCGCTCCCAACGCCTCGCGGCATCCCTTGCCTCACACTGCAGCACCCTCGCTCACCTCAGACGCACTGCCGACCTCTCTCCCCCCCGACGCCACAGATGAAGACGAGGATGACGACGACGTCGACGACGAGCCAACGGACGATGACGGTGCGACCAACCCCCTCGCTCCCAACGCCTCGCGGCATCCCTTGCCTCACACTGCAGCACCCTCGCTCACCTCAGACGCACTGCCGACCTCTCTCCCCCCCGACGCCACAGATGACGACGACGACGACGACGACGACATGGGGGGCGATGACGAGGACGCAAAGTTCACCGCCGCGTAAATACGCGGTAGAAGCAAGAAGCGCAAGGGCGCTCTGCAAACCGCTACCGTACGGTACCGAACTTAAGGTAAGGTAGCTTGAGTTAGGTTAGGTGCTTTGCACTGAGTTAGGTACGGGGTAGCGGCAGTTAGGTACTGGGATTTCTTTTTGGGTACCTGCGACGGGCCCCCTCGGCCCTCGCTGGTACGACGAGGGTGCGGCGAGTGAGGAGGAGGAGGAGGGGGGGGGGGGGGGGGACGAGGAGGAAGAAGAATAAGGCATCTAGTAGCGTAGGCACTCGTACTCGAGCGTGGTGCTCGTAGGTCGTAGCGTAGGAGGGAGCGATGCCTCAGAGTGGTGTGCCGGCCGCGTGGCCCGTGTGCCGGTCCGGCTGGACCGAGAGGTGGGTAGCAGGAGTTAGGTACATTACAACAGGAGTTCGGTAAGAGGAAAAGGGCTCCCTAACTCAAGCTACCTTACCTTAAGTTCGGTACCCTACGGTAGTGCAACGCGACCACGCCAGCAAGGCGCGCATGTAACTTGCAGATCGATTCCCCGACCAACTTGGTCCGGAGCCCCGCTGGTCGAAAGGTAAGAGCTGGACGGCATTGGGCCAATCCTTGAGTGGCGCTGAACACTGACTGTGCGTGACCGGGGTGTCTTCCCCCATCTCTCGGTCCTTCCTTCTGTTCGCATCCCGATAGTTATGCGACGGGCGCGGGGCCCGACCTCCCCTCCTAGCCTTTTTTGGCTGCGGCCCCGCCGCCGTCTCGTCCTCTCTGCCTGATTCTGTTGACCCTGCCGACGGCGTGCCCGACTTCCCGGGCGAGGGCGGTGGCTATAGGGTCGCGTCGCTCCCCGCCCAGGGAGGTCGGGCCGGCTCTCCCTGGTCGACGAGTCGCGCCCGCATCCGCGGCCTCTCTATCGTCCTCGGCTCGCCCCTCCCCTCCGCTGGCCCCTCATCGGGGAGGCGTGGCCCTCCTTGTCGCAGATCTCGGTGGTCCGGCTGCCGCCGCGACGGGTCTACCCCTGGTGAGCTCGTATGTCCCGACCCTAAAGATGCAGTACATAAATAAATAAACAAAACGGACACCTCTACTAGGAGATGGGTAAAAAGGAACAGGTCCCCGCCCTGCGGTCTTTGTGCAGGGTTCTTTGTGGGTGTGGTCGGCGACTAGCCGGGGTCGTCCTCCCATATGCGCGATGGGGGACTAGCACTAGCCGTCTTCCACATGGTCCCTCGGGTCCCTGCTGCTCCTAATCTCGTCGTACATCCTCCTGCTGATCTCCGCAACATCCTGCTCCCTCCCTCGTCTCGCCCTGCGCGTCTGCTCCGCCTCCCCGTCGCCCGCCCTGCGTCGTCTGGTGACGGGTCCTCCATAGTCGGTTGAGGTCGCCGCCCTCCTCGTGCCTCTTCCCAACGATCGTTCCCTCGGCGGCCGATGCCGTCTGCTCCGGCTCCCCAGTCCCCGGGTCTGCCCTGCTCTCGTCTGCGCTAGCTTCTGTTTCGTCATCACTGATGTCCGTCCTCTTCTTTCTCCTCTTGTTGTATGCTTTGTACATCGCGTCGATTCCTTTTCGCGTGAGCACCACCCTGAAGCCCGCCCAGCAGCTGAACCGCTCCCTAAGTCGAAGGAGCATCATCAGTCTCACCCACTTCGCTCGCTGCCCACTGTCTCCGCTCCCTCCCGTTTGGGCCGCCGTCGCGGCCCTCGTTCGTCCCACTGGCTGTTGGCCCGTCCCCACGTTACCTCTGTTATCCCTCCTCCTCCGCGACTCCCTCAAGGCTGGCCGGGCCTCCTTCCACCCAGCGAAGAGCTTCCTCAGCCACTCAATGTGTTCCTCTCTCTTCATTATGCGCGCGGTAGCCTCATCGTTGAGCTGGAAGGATCCACCTCTGCACCGCTCCCGTCGCCGCCTCGGCCACGACTTGCAAGTTCCTCGTGACCCCGGCGCCAAGGTCCCTCCGGCTCTTCTCCGAGAGGTCATCTACCAGTGCTGGCAACACCCTCCCGACGGCTGGGGCTAGTGCCTCGTACCCGTCCTCATCCAGCACCCTATAGCGTGAGCCCTTCAGCGCAGCGACATGCGCTATCCTCAGCGTAAGATGCAGTACATAAACACTTCACACCGCACTAAATTTAGACCCAGGGCCCTCCGGTGCAGTTGCAGGCTGGGCAGCCGGTTTGCTAATGGGGCGGGGGGGAGGGGGGGGGGAGGGGGGGGGGGGCCTGTGCGCGGGGGCGGAGAAAAGTGTGTGGAGCCCAAGAGAGCAATTGTAATCCTGCGACACCGCGGGGCGGAAGTTCAGTGTTGAACAGTTCGACGCACGACGGCGGAAGCCGGAACAACCCCCAGCCCCACGGCGGCAGTGTGCGGCGGAGGAGGGCGAGGCTGCGAGGCGGCAAGGGCGCGGCGGGGCAGACATCGCGAGGACCGAGGAAAAGAAATGCTGCCTCTAGCTGGGCAAACGCGGGGGGGGGGGGGGGTAAAAAATACGTCAGCGTGGACACTCGTTCGTCATTCGGTAAAGCCGTACGCTACACGACTGAGCTTGGCTGGGGTGGTGCGAACAGTGGTTGGGCCCAGTGCACCACAGCCAGAACCGTGAGGAAAGATGCACAGCAGGGAAACTGGGCGTATTGCATCATCATGACCGCCATGCACAGATCGCCGGCACGAGCAACGAAGAGGAGCTCGCTAAACAGAAGTGTCGTCTGAAAGAGGGCCATCGTCACAATCCTGAGCCGAAGAGAGAGCACCGTGGATGGCAACAATCCGAGCCACACGCCGAGGCATGAAGTAAAGAGGATGAGACCGCGTTGCCCGTGGGAGAGCAACTCCAGCCGAGTGTTGATCTCTGCTAACGAGGATGCGACTGCGACGTTCCGGAGCGCAAGCGCGGGTATTGCCACCATCAAAATGCAGCCTGCGCGGGCAGCCACTCGAGGACCAAAGACTACGGCCATCAGAACAAGAGGAACGACGCCTGCCAAGAAGAGTCTGATGGCCGGTACAGCACTCAACTCGGCGAGCAAGATGCCGACGACCGACATGACAGCCAGAAGGGCATGGGGCACGGACTTCATGAGCGTGGCGAACACGGTGCCGCTGACGGCGGCGGCGAGCGGCGCGGAAGCGGTCCGCGTGGCGGCCTGCACACACGCTTAAGGCACGATTAAGGCACGAGTTGAAGGCGCAGGGCAGTGTGATCAAGCGCGGAGTGTGGCCTTGTACAGCGCATGAATGGAGGGGGGGGGGGGGGGAGCCTGTGTGGTCGCAGGTGTCTGATCTACCGCCGATTGCCTGCCTCTGCTCGCTCTTTGCCGGCGGGCGGGCCGTGCAGTCGGGCGGCGAGGCGGGCGGAGAGAGGAGCTCGTCGAAGAGCTCCTCCGCCCTCCGGCTCAGGTCGGCCCCCGCCCCAAAGTCAAAGTCGAGCTCCCAGCTCGCGGGCGGCGAAGACGCCGCCGACGAAGAGGCCTGGAAGGAAGGGGGCGCGAGCGGCGGCGGCGGCGGGGGAAGGCCCGACGAGTCGAGCGGCTGCGGCAGCTGCGGCGGCAGCGGCGGGTCCGACGTCAGCGGTGGCAGCGACTTGAGGAGCAGCGGCGGCAGGTTAGTCGGCTGCAGCGTGCGACCCACCCGGAAGGCGATCAAGCTCCCGGCCGCGCAGGGCAGAGCGAGCAGGCCCGGAATGGTCGCGGTCGTCGGATCGCGCAGCAGCACCAGCTTTGGTCCGACGGAGCTGCACAGCTGGTTGACGACGCGATGCGCTGGCCACAGGGGCGACGGCGCTCCACCCTCCGCCGTGTTCCAGACGCCGACCCCGTGCTGGTTGAACGGCGCCGCCGAGCCCAGCGGGTCGTGGACGCGCACGCGCGAGGCGGGGATGAGAAGGCCGCCCCTCTGGCAGGCGGGACAGAATTTCTGCCGAAAGGCGGTAGATAGCGTTTCCACCTTTGCATGCATCCCGCCGCCGGCAATCTCTTGGCCCCAGCACGTCTCGGCGGACGGCTTTCGCTTTCGAGAGGGAGCAGGCGCAGGCGCGGGCGCGGGCGATGGTGCGGCCGACAGCGGCGAATACATGTTGTCGGTACTACGAGCCTCGCCGTTCAGGAGAAGCTCTCGCAGCTCCGCCGCCTCGCGCCTCTCGCGCATCTCGCGCTCGCTCGCCATGTCGATGTTGTGCGAACCCCCCACCTCGCTGTTCACAGCCCTGTTATTGAGAAGAAAATACGCTATCATTGCTATGGCGCTGTGTGTGTGTGTTCTGTACGTACTTCTGACGTATTAGCCCCCCCCCCCCCCTTGTATTCCGTATCCTCCGAGCGAAAGCCATGCAGGACTGTCGAAGGGGGCGACTTGAGTCGAATCTCAACATACCGCTCTACGCTCAGAGAGGCCAGAGCGTGCGAGGCGGGTCACTTTGGGCTACGGCCCTCACTCCGAAATAGGTGCGGCGTGGTGCTGCGCTCGATACATGGCGACGCGAAGCGGCGGCGTGGTGCTGCGCTCGATACATGGTGACGCGAAGCGGCGGCGCGGCGCGGCGCGGCGGCGGGCGACGCTGGGCGGGGCGGCGTGACCACCTGCACTGACCGGGTCTCTGGCCATTGGAGCAGAGCAGTGGTCGCGTCGCCCATGTCCCGACCAACACCCCGACCGGCGACGACGGAATCTCCTCCGTGCCGGCGGCCCCGTCGGCGGCGGCGCCGATCGGATCGCGTCGCGCCGGCGGGGGTGGTGACTGAGCGGGCAATGGCTCCGCTGGCCGGCGCGGGGTCGCGCCAGCGGGGAACAGGTAAGTAAGGCGGCATCGACGCTGAACGGTCACGAAACCCACCCCACCACACTGAAAGACCACCGGCCAGTTGACGACACACTCCCAGGCGCCCGCCGATGAAGCTGGGAGGATGTATGGAGGAATGGTAACGACCTCTCCGGATTGGTTGATCCCCGGCATCGACGGCGGGAAGAGGGAGGATCCCCGCCCCATCCCCCAGTTCAATCCCCGAGAGGAGAGGCAGAGCCTCTGGCGCGGGGCGACCCCGTAAGCTCTCAAGGCCGACCCCCCCTCTTCCGTTCAGAATTTCACGTGGAAAAAAAAAACCCCCCCCCCCTTCGGAGGGGGCCGGGCGAGGTGTACCCCGAGGGCCCCGCTCTTTCCCGGCAGCGGCGCGCGCGCGCACACACAAAGACGCTGCCCCCCTCACACCCCGCACCGCACATCACACACCCCTCGTGGCCGTTCTTCAGTCTGCGGCCAGGGCGCGCTGCACCGGGCCAACCTGCGGCCGTCGCCACGTGCGGCGGGGCTCAACGCGGGGCAGCGCGCCGACGACGTCGAATGCGCCGCCGTGGCATCGCGGCGCCGACGACCAGGCTCAGAGGATGACCCCGGGTAAGCGTTCCCGTGCCTCGACAATTGCCGCTGGTAGGCGCGCCGCGCCGAACCATGGCGGGCGCGCCGCGGCCGCGCGCAACCTTCGTCACAATGCCAACCGCGCGCGGCCGTCGACCGGCAAGCACACGCCTCGACTCGGACACAGTGTTCCGGGGGCAAGGGAGAGGGGCTGGCTCCTAGCCCGAGAGGAGAGCTTCCGAGACCCACTACAAGACCACGCACGCATCATCCCGCGGCCTGGCGGTCGGCGGGATTGCAACCAGTCTTCGCGTGCCGCCTGTCGTTCGACTCGGGCGCCTTGTGAGCGTCGGGGTGGCGAGCAGGGGACGCGGCTCTGAGCGCCCAGCGACGCGTGCCGGATGGAGTCCGGCCGCGGGTGACTAGGGAAGTTCGCTCAGGATGTGTGGCAGTCAGTTTGGCTGAGTGTCTTGTCTTGTGGTTCTGTGTGTCGCTCCTGTGTGACCGTCATCGCCCGTCCTGCGTCCACCCATACCGCGTTGGTGTCCCAGTCGTTGGTCGGACTGTGTTTCGCCTTCCCATCAATCAATCAATGTGTGTGTGTGTGTGTGTGTGTGTGTGTGTGTGTGTGTGTGTGTGTGTGTGTGTGTGTGTGTGTGTGTGTGTGTGTGTGTGTGTGTGTGTGTGTGTGTGTGTGTCACTCACTCACTCACACACTATGGCGCTGTGCGCTGGTCTGTGAGAGGTTGAGGTGCGAGCCCTGGAGGCCCTGGGGATGGGGGGGACTACCCGCGGGCTTAGAAGGCCCGCGCGCAGGGGGGTGGGGCATTGAGACCGGTCATGAATGAGTGCGCGACACGCGTGTTGCGAGCAGCGTTGTTGATGTTTTGCGCATCGCCACTGACGGCGGCGCGCGAGAGCTGTTGCGAGTGGTGTTGGGCGATTCACACCGCAGCCGTCAGGGCGTTGGAGGAGGGCGTTTGAGATGCGGCGGCAGACCGGACACGTCCACTCGGCCTCGTCGAGCCGGCGGCCCTAGCGGCCCTCGTGACGCAGAGACCCGATGCAGCGGAGGCGCGGCCGAGGTGCAGCCGAGGTGCAGCGGAGATGCAGGTTGCAGCGCGGAGCCGAGATGAGAGCCGGGGTGTAGCCGAGGTGCGGGCGAGGGCGAGGTGGGGGCGAGGTGCGGGCGAGGTGCGGGCGAGGTGCGGGCGAGGTAAAGAGTTTTAGAGCTAAAGAGGCACGGGCGAGGTAGAGGCACGCCTCGTGCACAGCGTGGCCGCACGAGCGGAAGTGTCTAGGAAGTGTCTAGGAAGGGTCGAAGTTTCTCCAACAAACCCGAGCCTCAGGGCACCGCGAACCCAAACCTGCGGGTCCGCCCCCCGTGGGCGGCGTGGCGGGCGGGCGGCTGTCTCTGCCGCCCTGCCTCCTCCTCGAGTGAGCCTCGTCTCGCTCTTCGTCTACTCGAGCCTCGTCTCGTGTGCCGCCTCGTGGGCGGCGTGGCGGGCGGAGCTGTCTCTGCCGCCGCCTCGTGTGAGCCTCGTCTCGCTCTTCGTCTACTCGAGCCTCGTCTCGTGTGCCGCCTCGTGGGCGGCGTGGCGTGGCGGGCGGCTGTCTCTGCCGCCGCCTCGAGTGAGCCTCGTCTCGCTCTTCGTCTACTCGAGCCTCGTCTCGTGTGCCGCCTCTTGGACGGCGTGGCGTGGCGGGCTGCTGTCGCTGCCGCCGCCTCGAGTGAGCCTCGTCTCGCTCTTCGTCTACTCGAGCCTCGTCTCGTGTGCCGCCTCGTGGGCGGCGTGGCGGGCGGCTGTCTCTGCCGCCGCCTCGTGTGAGCCTCGTCTCGCTCTTCGTCTACTCGAGCCTCGTCTCGTGTGCCGCCTCGTGGGGGGCGTTGCGTGGCGGGCGGCTGTCTCTGCCGCCGCCTCGTGTGAGCCTCGTCTCGCTCTTCGTCTATCGAGCCCGGAGGAGATGTACAATATGCATGGCGATCGCTTCCGCAAGACCATCTGCCCGAACGTCGTTCCTTCCCCCTTCATCGCCTGCGGAGAGGACATCTGGCAGGCCGAGCCCCTCGAGGTGAATGGGGGAAAGGTGGAGGAGGTGATGAAAAGTTCGCGGCGAGGAGAGGTCGACGCCGCCTTCCGCAAGAAGGCCCTCGAGCTCCTCGACAACACGGTGCGCCCTCACTCACACGACCCTCGGCCGTGCCCTCGGCCGTCGGACCACGCCCACTTGAGCACTCGAGCACTTGAGCACTGGATAGGGTCGATTCCGCATATGGCGTACACGGGACCCCTCGATCGTCCCACTGAGCACTGTGCGGGTTTGAGTGCACGCACGCGGTGATCGGTGTTCGGCGATGTGGTGGGCTCCTTGCTTGTTTGTGGTGAGAGGAGAGACGTCGCAGGGCAAGCCTACCTTTGTTTTCCGGCACTTGAAAGGTCTGATCGAACAAAACAAGCCTGTCCGTCTCCGTCTCTCGCTCTGATCAAGACAACCCTTCACGACTCGTCACGACACGAGCTAAGGTGGCATTCTCACACCCTACTTTCGACGTCGCTCTCGAGCCTGCGCGCACAGGGTTGGCGCCTGGCCGCATTGGCATGCTGGGTCGATCTCAAGGGGCAACTGCCCTCTCAGCGCACCATTTGCTGCGCAGGCGGCGCCCCCCCGCCTCCCCCGCCCCCGCCGCCATTATTCTTCTGCTGCGCCTGCTTGTACTCGTGAACCGCATACTCGACGAGCATCAGTCCGGCAAGTAGCGTGGCGCGGCTCTCGTCGCTGGAGCCTGCCGGAAACCGCGTCGCCATGTTCGACCGGTCAGTCAGGCCACCGCAGTTACACCCGGGCCACACCCAAGAGGACTGACCGACCCACTCGCCGGTGCCGGCTTCGAAGACATCCACCGCATACTCCTCGTTGAGGCAGGAGGGTGCACAGCAGTTGTGGTGGTCATGTGTGCCGCAATCACTTGCGCGCAGCTTGTAGATGGGCTTGCCGTTCGCGTCAGAGGCTACGAAGCTGCGCGCGCAGCACTCGGAGCCACATGCATGGTCCACCTCGGTGGCACTGCCAAGCAGGTGGCCATTTGCGTCGACGATACGGAGATTCTGAGTGTAGAGAGAGCAGCAGGGCTGGCAATAGCAGGGGTCGCAAACAAAGGGCCGCTCGACGCGGAAGTAGGATATGCCCTGAACGTCCTTGAAGTCCATAGTGAAGCCTCGAAACATGGGGCAGCAAACGCGCTCGCAGCAGTCGCTCTCCTCCTTTGCGGTGAGCAATGGGCTGTACGCCGCTGCCTCGCGAAATTCCTGCGCCCACCCGCTGTTTAAGCTTGCGGGCAGCGGCGTTGAGATTGGTGTGATCTGGTAGCGGTTCTTTGTCTCACAGCCGCCAATCACCTCGAGCAGCTCAATGTGTTGCCGGAGGAAAAGGCCCTGGTAGCCGGACAGCCACTCGCAGCCCCGATTCGCTGATGCCGTCGTACCTGCGGTGACTGGCTGGGCCGTGACCACTCCGGTGCCAGGCACACTGTACGGCTCTGCCGCGACGACCACGGAGTGCCCCTCGCTGAGCAGGCTGCGCCTCGGACTCGCATAGGAGGTCTCCATGTGTGTACGCACGACAGCAGTGCTGAAGTGTCCCTCGCCTGAGCCTGGCCTGAGCGTGTGCTGCGCGTGCCTAGGCGCGTGCGTGCCCCGGCCGAGTATGTTCAACAGCGGACGGGCGGCCTCCGGCGATGATAATCGAGCGCCGGATGGGTTGCGGTGGTCGGGTGGTGGGTGGGTGGCTGGCGGGGTGGGGGGGCGGGGGGGGGGGGGGGGGGATTTCACGTTCTTCCTTTGTATGTATCGAAGGTGAATCACAGTCAGACAACCAGCGGCGATTTCTTCTTTCTGTGTTGTACCTGTGTTAGTGCCAGTCAGTGAAAGTGTCAGTGTGCGCGTAAGTCGTAAAATTCTTCTTTCTGCCTGTGTCTGCTTCGGACAGCGCTGTGTGTGCTCCCCTGCGCACGCACGCGCGGCGCCGTACACCCACACACCGCAGTCTGCGTGCGCCGAGGGCACAAGGGCACATCCCGGGCAAGACCGAGAGTACCGGACGGGCGGGGACGCTGACACACTGGAGCCGCACGGGGTGCCTTCATGAAGTACGCGGCAAAACGAATTGCTATTTTGTGGGTGTGGGGCGAGGAGTGGATCCAGTCGCGGCACAGCACACGATGGCTCTCGTCGGCCAAACCGGCGTCCCACACAAACGAGTCGTCCGTGGCCGCCTGGATGGCCGCACGTGCCGCGGTGAGCTCGGCGGCGGTTTAGATCGAGGCCTACCGTTCTCTGCGATGTGAGCTTCTTGTTTCTTATCAACCTATCTGTGAACGGGGCTTCGCCCAGCACCACTCGCGCGGAAGGCTGCAGCCGAGGAGGCTGCTGCAAAGGCGGCTGCTCAGGCGGCCGCTCAGGCCGCTCAGGCGGCCGCTCTCGAACGGTACAGGTTGGTCAACGCTTGGTTCTACCCTCGCGGCGACTCTCTGGTACACCTTGTACTGGGACGGCAGCACGGCCGACATGGTCGCAAGGCGCGCTACCTACCCGACGCTCGAGCACGACAACTACGACCCCGGCCCCCTCGCGGAGCGCATCAGGCGCGACAAGCGCGAGGCGTCCCACCGCTCCTCCGACGACTCCTCCTCCGACCAAGACACATGCGGCACCGGCTCTACTAGCGAGGCGAATGACATATTCGACACCCTCGACGACCATCTCGGCTACGGTTCCGACGGTTCCGACGACCATCTCGGCTACGGTTCCGACTCCGGCTCCGGCTGGTAGTCGAGAAGCTGCCGAGCCCAAATCACTGTGTGTGACACATTTCTTGTTGGCTTCTAAAAATCTCTCTCTCTCTCTCCACTCGCAACAGCTCTCGCGCGCCGCCGTCTGTGGCGACGCGCAGAACATCAACAACTCTCTCAATGCCCCACCCCCCTGCGCGCGGGCCTTCTAGGCCCGCGGGTAGTCTCCCCCCATTCCCAGGGCCTCCAGGGCTCGCACCTCAACCTCTCATAGACCAGCGCACAGCGCCATAGGAGGCATTTTCTTCTCAATAACAAGGCTGTGAACAGCGTCGAACCTCGGTGTTGCCCCCTCCGGGCCGCGACCTCTCGAACGACATGAGCCTGAATTATCTCCTCGTCACTCTCCTCAGCACAGCGGCCCGGTCGCAGTGGAAGCTGCCGGCGATATCCGTCAGGCCCTGCAACTGCTCGGCTCGCGTCTACGTTTACGACCTTGAGCCGCCGCTGACGGACCCAGGATATGGAGAGGCGCACAACCCGTTCCATCGGCGGCCAGACACGCCCGGTCCATGGGACCCCAACGAGCAAGGAGAACATATGTATGCGCTGACGAGCATCCTCGAGTACCGCTTGCGGCGGTCGTGCTGCCGCACAACTGATCCAGAGGAAGCAGACCTGTTCTTCGCACCCATCGCTCCACGGCCAAGAGAGAGAGCAAGTCTTTACTTCGAATTGTGCCAATCTGGAAATTTGAGCGCAAAATCGGTGCGGCTTGCGCTTCGACACGCGCGCGAGCCATGGCGTGCTTGCCGGCACTTCTTCAGCTTGCCGCACCACTACCACTTTGAGCAGTGCGGCGGTTGGTTCGCGCACCCGAAGCCTCCATACGAGCTCATGATGCGTGTGGGGTATCTGCACTCCATCACCCCGTCGCTCGAACGTCGGGTGAGGGCGGAGGCGCTCAATGATCACACAGCGAAGCGGAGCCATCTGTGGAAAGATCTCTCGAAGGTGAGCAGCAACATCAGCTCGACATACCCGAACTTGATCTCCGTGCCATACCCGAGTGTGCGCTGGTCAAGCGGCCAGACGCGGGCTGGCTTCTCGCCCCCATGGGAACGCGAGCAGCACGGTCTGGATCGCCCAGTAATCTCCCCAACCATGCTATTTGTTGGCAGTGCGGCGCACGGGGACGTTGCGGTCCGGACTCTCGTGGTAAAGCAATGCGAGGCTCACCCGCGCTGTACCGTGAGCCCGTGGCGAGGTGGCGCGTCGCTGCTCGACAAGCAGCGCGCAGTTTTTTGCCTGGAGCCCAGTGGGGACAGCCCCGACCGCAAGTCTGTCAGTGATGACGTGGCAATGGGCTGCATTCCCGTCTTTTTCTCCGCGATTTCGAGCGGCCTTGCGCCCTGGTTTTGGGCGGCGGCAGGCTCCGCTGGAGGGGGCTATGTGCTCATCGAGCGCGAGCCCTTCTTGGTTGGAAACGTGACTCTCGAGAGCGAGCTCGGCCGCATGCCTTCTGCTCGCGTCGCGGCCCTTGGCCATGCCGTGACCCGCGTCGCCCATGGGTTCCAGTACTCAATCGATGATGACCCCGGAGATGCAGTGGACGTGCTGCTTACAGGACTCCACAAGATGGCCGACGCACAGTGCCCGCACCACACGCATCAGCAGCCATAACGAACGAACGACTCTGACTCTCAAAAACGAAAGGTAAGCCCGTCGCGGCGGCAAGCGCACCTGGGCCCGCAGGCCGTCGGCGCGGGGGGCGGGTCCTTTGCCTAGGTTCGCCCAGCAGAGACCTGCGGTACGTGCTCGCGCAGTGCATCGCGCGGAGGGAGGGGGCGTGGAGCGTGAGCAGTGGCTCTCAGGTTCCTGCCCCGACTGCCCCGACCGCAATCGGTTGTTTGGGGGGGCCATCAACTTGATGAGGGCGGACCACACATAGTGGGGCGGGTCCAGAGAGGGGAAATAGAGAAAGCCCTGAGTCGCCCGTGCTCGTGTCGCCTGTGTGCGAGAAAGTGGGGAGTGAGTCGGAGCGGCCCGAGAAGGTCTGCCCAAACCAAAGCACCACCTGGGAACGCTCTCACAAGACATTCCGCCCACTTACCACGGTCGGCTCCACGGCGGCGGAGGTCTGGAGGTCTCAACGCGAGGGGCCTGGAGCGCGCACGCACCTCAGCCACGTCACGCGCGACGCTACCAGCGGCGACGGAGGCCGCCCATCCAGTCGCCCATCGATGTTGAGCCGTGCACACTCGCAGAGGCCATGCCGGGCAGCAGCCACTCGACCAGATGCGGCAGGTCGGGCTTGTCCTGGCGGTACGGGAGCACGCCGGAGTACAGCTCAACGACCTCGGGAACGGGGAGGACGCACAAAAACGACAAAATTCCGGATGGACCGGAGAGTGTCTACTCTTTCGAGGCCTCGTGCTCGGCCCGGCCGAAAAGCTGGCTGGTGGTCGCGCGCGGCGCGTCGGCGCGGCTTCGACTGGTCGGGCACCTCGGCTGGGTCCATCAGTTTACCGCCGCGGCCGACCCTCACACCACCGGCCTCGAGGTTGTGCGCCGATTCTTCCACTCGCTCTGCGCTGCGGTGGCGTGGAAGAGCCGCAAGCCGGTGAACTCCGTCAGCGGTGGGGCAACAACGAGCTGGCCGGCTGCGGTATAAGGAATAAGCCCGGCGAGCGCTTCACGAACCCGATCGTCTAGCGTACGCTCGAGGCGGTTGTGTTCACCGCGCCTTCGAGCCCGGTTGGCAGTAGGAGGGCCCGCCGGTGAGACCACTGATTTTGGTGTCGACCATAAATTCTCGCCACTGGAACACATGCTACTTACAGCTGCTGTCCGTACAGAGATGCCAGCACCCCCCACAGGCAGAGCGCTCCTGCTGGGGGGGGGGTCCGGCATGGCTTTAGATGTGAAGGGGGGGTACCGAGCAGGGTGTCGCCGCTCCCGGACAGCCACATCGCAGCCCCGATTCGCTGATGCCGTCCTACCTGCTAGAACTGGCTCGGCCGTGACCACTCCGGTGCCAGGCACTCTGTACGGCTCTGCCGCGACGACCACGGAGTGGCCCTCGCTGAGCAGGCTGCGCCTCGGACTCGCATAGGAGGTCTCCATGTGTGTACGCACGACAGCAGTGCTGAAGAGTCCCTCGGCTGAGCCTGGGCTGAGCGTGTGCTGCGCGTGCCTAGGCGCGTGCGTGCCCCGGCCGAGTATGTTCAACAGCGGAAGGGCGGCCTCCGGCGATGATAATCGAGCGCCGGATGGGTTGCGGTGGTCGGGTG